GTTTTCGACGAGGGACAGGTGAATAAGTTTTTGTACACCACGATTAAGCTGAACTCTATAATCAAAAGATACTCTAAGATGGCGGCGTTGGTGCTTGTCAGCTTGCCGCCACCGCCGGCTCACCATCCCCCTTATTGCTATATGGAGTATATGGATAGGCTTGTGGATGGTGTACCTAGGTTGCTTATGGTGCGTGGATATCGTAGGGATGTTGTGACCATTTTTTCATGATCATGAGCTGTGTATGACACTTTTTACAGCGCAATTATTGTTTCTAATCGGCGAATGTTTGTTCCGTTGTTCCCTATTTGTTTCTTGATGACGGCACAGTTAATTACCAACAGTGTTACATGTCGTACCAGAAGTTGGATTTCATTCGACAATCGTAGTGAAGTGGAGGAGGATATTCTCAACGTGCCAAGCCCGTGATGTCCCCGTCTTCAAAGGTTCCCGCAATTTCAGCCTGAATCGGCCTTCCTTTCGGGCTAATTTTAGAGTACCAGCGCTTTTCTCTGCACGGACCAGCTTGCTACAAAGTCAGGTGCATGGCAAGCAACTAGAGGAGACAGAGAATCATGACAAATGCTACTGTACTGGTGGGAGGAAGCGCACAATCACAGAAGTCCAGGCTTGAAGGTTTAGAGTAATAAGCAGAACTCGATCTGACTAGATTTACTTCCTTTCCCTCTATCTACTTCCCTCCTTAGCTTTCCTACTCCTCCCCCTCCCAATCTTCCTCCTCCCCTTTTTTCCCTTCGCAAATTTTATCAACAGGGACTTCATTTCCACACCACCCTCCTTACTGCTACCCAGCTTTTCCTGCTCCTCCTCCTCACTCATCATGACCTTTCCCCCCACTTTCCCCAGTTCCTCCTCTCTAGCCATCACTCTCATTTTGTGCAGCATTTCCCTCTTCATTACAATCGTCTTCTCCCTCTGCTTCCTCCGCTGCTTGTCAGTCTGTCTATGCTCCACCCACCTACGCTCCTTCGCCTTTGCCACATTCCCTGCTCTCTTCCCCTGTGCTCGCTCAAAACAATTCTCAAAATCCTCTGCCAATTGCCACTTCTCCAATCTTTTCTGCCTTTCCTCGGTCAGTTGTTGATACTCGTAGTCCCCCTGAGGCAAAAGCAAGGAATGGAAATAGGAAATGAATGTGGCACGCGTAAGCGTAGATCTATGGAAATCTGCAAGAATCCAAGAATCAGCAAACGTAAGCGAGAAAGAATCGGCTGAGATTCCTTGCATGGTGCTCAAACCCTTCATCACTCCCTTCAAAAAAAAAAATCTTGCTTCAATCTTACAGGTGGAAAGTAATATTGAATGCAATCCAGCAGCTGCTTCGACCTAAGCTTTGGCCGTTGCTGTGCCTTCTCCCTTTCCTTTTGTGCTCGCCTTGCCTTCCTCTTCATTCTCCGTGCTTCCCCCGGCCTCTCGTTCTGCCTTTGTGCTTGCTCTGCCTGCTCCTTCTCGGCCCTCTCCTTCTCTTTCCTCTCCTTCTCTTTCCTCTCCTTCTCTGCCCGCTCCTTCTCTTTCCTCTCCTTCTCTTTCCTCTCCTTCTCTGCCCGCTCCTTCTCTTTCCTCTCCTTCTCTTTCCTCTCCTTCTCTTTCCTCTCCTTCTCTTCCCGCTCCTTCTCTTTCCTCTCCTTCTCTTTCCTCTCCTTCTCTTCCCGCTCCTTCTCTTTCCTCTCCCTCTCCTTCTCTTTCTTCTCCTTCTCTTTCCTCTCCTTCTCTTTCCTCTCCTTCTCTTTCCTCTCCTTATCTTTCCTCTCCTTCTCTTCCCGCTCCTTCTCTTTCCTCTCCTTCTCTTTCCGCTCCTTCTCTTTCCTCTCCTTCTCTGCCCGCTCCTTCTCTTTCCTCTCCTTCTCTTTCCTCTCCTTCTCTTTCCTCTCCTTCCCTTCCCGCTCCTTCTCTTTCCTCTCCTTCTCTTTCCTCTCCTTCTCTTCCCGCTCCTTCTCTTTCCTCTCCCTCTCCTTCTCTTTCTTCTCCTTCTCTTTCCTCTCCTTCTCTTTCCTCTCCTTCTCTTTCCTCTCCTTATCTTTCCTCTCCTTCTCTTCCCGCTCCTTCTCTTTCCTCTCCTTCTCTTTCCGCTCCTTCTCTTTCCTCTCCTTCTCTGCCCGCTCCTTCTCTTTCCTCTCCTTCTCTGCCCGCTCCTTCTCTTTCCTCTCCTTCTCTGCCCGCTCCTTCTCTTTCCTCTCCTTCTCCCTCCTTGCCTTCTCAGCCTGCTCCCTCTCCCTCCTCACTTCTCGTAGCAATGAATGCTTAAACTCTTCCATCTTCCCCACCACCTCTCGCATCTCACATGCCCTTGCCTCCAATGCCACCAACACCTCACTCCTTGTTCTGTCCAGCTCCTCTACCGCTCTGCCCACGGATGAGGAGGCCGTTTCACCATTCAACTCCTCCCTCCACCGCTGCGCCATCCTTTGCTGTGTATCTTCCATCTTCCCTACCACCTTTCTCACCTCCTCATCCAATCCCCGCCCCCACCGCTGCCCCACCTCTTCAACCTGTTCCATCACCCTCCTCACCTCGTCCGCCCCTTCTTCCCATCCCACCCTCACGTCCCTCATTGTCCCTTCTAGCACTCGTCTCAATCCGCTCATCTGATAATCCAAATCCCGCCTCCACTGCTCACTCATCTCGTCCAACTTTCCAGCCAGACTTATCGCATCGCCTGCTCTCTCCTCCCTCGCCACCTGCACCTCCCTCCGAATTTCTTCCATTCCTCGTTCTCCATCCTTCTCTCGCCCCAACTGCTGCACCAACACGTGCATCTCCCTCCTCAGCTCCTCTTGCTGCAGCCGCAATGCACAGAGCTCCAGAGGGGCCCTTTGGATGCTGCAGACTGCTGCCCTGGCAGCCAACCAATGCCTGGCCACATGAAACAGAAAAAAAGCTTGATGAATCATGCAGAAAACCATCCAGAAATTACACCAGATGGGTAGAAATGCGAACGTCTTGGCGAGAAACAGGGCGTTCATGGATGTAAGCAGGTGACTTTTGAGTCGACTCAAAAGTCACCTCGTAGAAATGCAAACGTCTTGAGGAGAAACAGGGTGTTCATTGCTGTAAGCAGGTGAATGTACACCTGAGACTGTGTGGTTGGCACAGCTGAGACTGTGTGGTTGGCACAGCTGAGACTGTGTGGTTGGCTGGCACACCTGGCAAGTGCAGACATCACATGTATCCGTGTTGCACCACATAGAGCAACAGTTCGATGCGCTTGCGACGTAAGCCGATACGAAAAGAAAACCTGCACAGTCAAAGGGTATTGTTAATAGCCCACGGAAGCGATGATTGCAAATGTATGGATCTTGGACCAAGTGCAAGACAAAAGGCGAAGAGAGGAGAACATCAGAGACCCGTAAGGATGCAAAAAATTGCAGTAAAATACAGGACCAGAATCAATTAACAGAATTCAAGCGTGGCACAGTATACAAGACAAGCGTATTGGTCGAAAGATGAACGAAAGCATGCTTCAATCCAATATATGTTGTCTCGGCTAGGAAACGCGTTGTGTGCAATGCTCGTCAAGCCGACTCAAAGCCGCACCATATAGGAAATGCATGCAGCCTGAACCCTCTGCATGCCCCGCTTGGCATGGCAGCAAGCAGGTGTATATTTCAGTCGACTAAAACAGACTGCAAGCTGTACCATATAGGAAATGCACGCAGAATGGATCCTCTGCATGCCCCGCTTGGCAGCGAGCAGGAGGCGGCGCAGGCATGCGAGGAGGTGGGAGAGGGAGACGCCCGTGCAGCAGAGGACGAGGGCTAGCGTGGTGCAGACGAGGTATGCGTGGATGAACTGATGGGGGGACGGGACACGGGACGGAGGTAATGCAAGATGATTTGCCAGGCAAGGTGTGTGTGGATGATTTTGAGGATTATTGTGCGTGCCTTGATGTCATAATCAGCCTCGGAGTTATGCGTGCATGAGATGATACCAAGGCCGTGCGAGAGGTCACCGGGGGAGACGGGAATGGAAAGGCTGGCAGAGAAGGATGAAACTCACATCACCTCTATCCCACATCAACTCAGTTCACCCCTCTCCCATGTGAGCTCATCTCACCCCTCCCTTACCATCAGGTACGCCCTGGAAGCACCATCCCCTTCCCCTCCGAACACCACCGTTCCACCAGCCGCATCAAACGCGCTGTGACTGCGAGATCGTTGCGTGTCCACGTCAGCATGCAGGCTGGCAGCGCCAGCACTGAGGGAAGGCGCCAGCACAGCGGCACGGCAGAGAGACGCGCTCACAGAAACACCGCGAGGAAGGGACCCCGCAGCAGGCCGACTACTCGCAGAACCTTCCATTCTTGAGACCAGTGTGATGGCAACAGTTACGGCAGCAGTTATGGCAACCGTGGCCACAGTCCATACAGGCAAGGCAGGCAAGGGAGTGTTTCTGTGCTAAGTCTGCCACCCCATGGCCGGAGAGTCAGCCCAGAGTAAGCGAGACGCAAGAAATCCGTGCGGATCCTGCCGCAGACACGTTGCGTGAAATCACGTCCGCCTGTGCGATTGAGACAGCGGCAAACGTGGGTGTGGCAGGTTAGGTGCCAGGAGGCATGGATTTTAACGCGTACGGATCTCAAGAGCCTGTCATTCAATCTGTCGGCCGGCAGGGTCGTAGCGATTCTCCTTGTGAGAGGTCTCAGAAGCTGGAAGACAGAAGCTACAGAAAAGGAACTCGGATGGAGGAGATTTGGAATACTGACGGTGAATCCCCTCTTGAGCAGAACCTGAGGGTTCAGGCTCTCGTCTCTCGGTTATGCGGCGAACGACTGACTTGGCGACGACGCGTTGCATTCACCGTCGCACTGTGCGTCGGGCGATCGATGAGTGCGACAGGCGCGACGGGGAAAGTAAACGCGGTAAGGCGTTCACTCTGCTGACCCGCGTCGCGCCCGTTGTCGAAAGCGAGGCCTCGTGTCAGCGCCATACTCGCAGACCGTTTTCCGCGGCCTCGTAGGTGCTCACGGCGGCTGACGCAACAAGCTGAAACGGACGAAAGCTTCATGCACACAGGGCGCGGCGCGAACTCGAAACCGCGCCATGCACGGAATGGCCGCAGGTCGACAAGATAAAGATAGGGCACGACCAGGGCGTGAAGCTCGCGTGAAATGCGCAGCGAGGCTGCAGAGCTGGCTCCCTTCCCTGCTCAGTTTAGGTGACTGCTGCATGGATGTTCCTGCGCGGGGTGTGTTACTCTCGTGAGTGTTATTCGAGAGTCCCACATTCTGGCTTAGCGAGTGTTACTCTCGCGAGATTCGGATATTGTCAGCTGCGTTAGTCGAACACCCATCTTAAGAAACGCCTACAAAGAGCCCATAGGATACAAGAAAATACCAACACGACTAGACTTCAGATTTTCCACATCGCGCGCGAATCTCCGCCAGAGTCGCATGCAACCCATGCGAACATAAACGCTGTTGCGCTTGACACTCCCGCCAAGCAAGCGACATGCTACGAAGATCGCAGAAAATCGCGAGCATGCGATGAACATTCGCGATATTGCAGATGTCAGATCCATTTTCTCGTCGTCACGCTTCAACCACACTTCACCACACTGCACCATGCTTGACCATTTTAAAGTCCAAACTTCAACAAGTAGGTGTCGAAAGCAGCACGCCTCAAGTTCCACCCCACAGCTCTGGCTTGTAAATCCGAGGCTTGCCGGTCGGGAAACTCGTTAGCAAACGAGGTAGTTCTGGCATCGGGAATGAATAAGTAATAGCTGGGCCATGACGACTACTTAGCTGCTACTAAGCTGCTTATGCGTTCTCTTCTGAGCCACTTAGCGCAGCCTCGTTGCCCATTTCCCCGTGCTTTTCCACTCTCGCCACACCTCAGCTAGAAATTTGATTCGCTTCAAAAGCAGGTTCTGACTTCAGCCTCAACCAGATTTCAAGCCATAATGGGTTTCCTGGGGGTTGGGTTTCTTCTGGGAATTCGTTGTGTCTCGCTACGGATAAACTCGTTACTGGCGTCTGTCTTTCTGCTTTTCCTCTCTCGTAACACTGTAGCAAGAGTGATCTTGCCGTATAGATTGGGAGCGATTCATCCGACGGCTGCGATGGAAACTCGAGAAGAATCAACGAATGCGAACCACCAACCCGCAGATTCAGGCAAGGCAAGCATAAACAGTATCGCAGCCCCCATGAATCGTTTTTTAGCTGTTTGTTAACTTCTCATTATATTATTCTTGTTTTTTTTTAGTTTTTTTTCTTGTTTATTCTTCTGGACCCATGTCTGTATATATATCTCTTTCCCCTCTTCCTCCTCCCGCTCCTCCCCCTCCCCACACCCTTTTCCTTCTTCCCTTTCCAGGCATAACAATCGGTACCACGTCGCTTCCAGGACTGGTCATTTCAGTCAGAAGCAGCACACGAGCCATCGGGACAGAGTCAACAACACAAGGCACTGTATCCGACGTGACTTTATTGAGAACTGTGCCTGTATCGGATACGACCGCAGCAGAGGGAGCAGGAGAATTGCTAGCGAGAAGGAGGAGGCTAGCAGGGTTTGAGACGTACGATATTCGGCGAGTGCGAGAGTGGGTGGTCGCACACAATAACGTCAGAAAGCTTTACTCTCGAAATGGGATCAGAGAAGGTTCTTTCTCTTCCTCCTCCTCCGCCTCCCCTCCTCTCCCCCCTCTCCTCTGGGACCCTGCGCTAGCCCGCTTTGCCCAAGCCCACGCGGATTCAGTGGGTGCCAACGCGCAGTGCCGCCCGGAAGCCAACGAGGCGGCGGGGGAGGCGGGCCTGGGGGAGGTGTATCTGTGGGCTGCGGTGGAGAAAGGGGAGGCGTTATTCACCGCTGCAGAGGCTGTTAACGCGTGGGCGGAGCAGGTGAGGTGAAACCAGGGGAGATAGAGAGAGCCTGTGGGAGGTGTATCTGTGGGCCGCGGTGGAGAAGGGGGAGGCGTTATTCACCGCTGCAGAAGCGGTTGAAGCGTGGGCAGAGCAGGTGAGGTGAAACCAGGGGAGATAGGGAGAGCCTGTGGGAGGTGTATCTGTGGGCTGCGGTGGAAGGCGTTATTCACGGCTGCAGAGGCGGTTGAAGCGTGGGCGGCGCAGGTGAGGTCAGGGCTTGGGTGGGGTGTATCATGGGTTTGGGGTGGAGAGAAGGGAGAGGCGTTATTCACCGCTGCAGAGGCGGTTGAAGCGTGGGCGGAGCAGGTGAGATGAAACCAGGGGAGGAAAGGGTGGGGAGGTAGGGTAGGCGGGCCTGGGGAGGTGTATCTGTGGACTGGGGTGGAGAAAGGGGAGGCGTTATTCACGGCTGCAGAGGCGGTTCAAGCGTGGGCGTGGTATGCCCTTGATTGAACCTCGTTGACCCATGTTGAACTCCATTTACCCCTATTACACCCCATCGACTTCTGTTAACCCTTGTTGACTAACGTTGACCCCTGTTGACTCGCCAGGGCATACATTACAGCAGCAGCAGAGGGGAGTGTGTGCCGGGGAGGTTGTGGGGATTGATTGGGGGTATTTCAAGTGTTCACCAATATGATCCCAGTTGACTCCCACTCCGGTTGACCCCCCCACCCCGGTTGACCCCCCCCCCCCCCGGTTGACCCCCGTTGACCCCCACCCCTGTTGACCCCCGTTGACCTCTGTTGACTTGTGTTTACTTGGCAGGGAAAGCACTACAGCAGCAGCACAGGGGCGTGCGTGCAAGGGGAGGACTGTGAAGCATTCATTCAGCTCACGTGGAGAGACACGAGGAGAGTGGGGTGTGGCGAGGTGCGTTGCTTCCCTCTCCCTCTCTCTTTCCCCCACAAAACACTGTCACATCACCTGTGGTGCATTCATTCAGCTGACGTGCAAAGACACAAGGAGAGTGGGGTGTGGCGAGGTGCGTTGCTGCTGTCTTCCCCTCTCCCTCTGTCTCACATGCCCCCTCTCGCTCTCTCTTTCCTCCTCTCACACACATTGTCGCTATCACTCACTGTGACGCGTTCATTCCTGCACCACTGCTCTCCCCATCTGCCCACTCCCTTTCCAAATTGCATCGCCCTTCCGGGCCCCATACCTCCCCCCATCCCTCCCCTCCGCCCATCCCTTGCCCCCATCCTTCCCCGATTCTTCCCCCACACCCATCCTCCCACCAGGCACTCTGTCCCTGCAAGGCCAATTTTACCGGGGTTGCTCAGTTTCTCGTCTGCAACTACCATCCACTCTCTGCTCTCCTCTATCCTCTTTTCCTCTGCTTTACTCTCTGCTGCTTCCATCCCCCCATCATCCCTCCCCATCCTCCCCCCCATCATCCCTCCCCATCCTCCCCCCAGGCGCTCTGTCCCTACAAGGGCAATTTCACTGGGGTGGCTCAGTTTCTCGTCTGCAACTACCATCCTCCTGCTGCTGCTCTCTAGGCTCTTTTACTCGTTTCTAACCCCTGCTGCATTGACTTGACACTGAAAACATGCTCCTCCAACAATACGGTTCTTGTTACATGGAAGCTGATGATGATGGCCGCATCTCTCTGTAGACTAGACAGACAAATTTCGAATTGAGACTTAGAGGTAAGTTGGAGAGACAATGAGGTGGTTTTACCAAAGGAGGCCCTTGCAGTAGTCGTGATGACCCACAATTGCAATGAGCTGCCAACAAAATGACACATGTTTGGTTATGGTTCTAGTAGCAACAAGGGAAACTTATGGAGAAGTGGGGTATCGATCCCCATACAACCCGCATGCTAAGCGAGCGCTATACCATCTGAGCTACATCCCCATATTTATACCTCCATTTACCTAGAATCTTCGTTTGTCCCGTCCCTCAAACTCACAGAAATAGCCACTTATGTTGCTGCCTTAAATGTAAACCACTTCATATCACATACGGTACCAATCCTTAAATGTAAACCACTACCATATCACACCTTATTAACAGGTCGCACACCAAGGTCCTTCAGTCCAGCTGGTTCTCTTTACTCAACTTCACACCCGCCTTCTCCCCCTCTGCTCCCCTTTGCTCCCCTCTGCTCCCCCACTGCCTTGGCCACCTGCTCTGCTGCCTGCACTCTGTACTCTGTCGTTAACCACATAGAGTCTCCATTCCCAGCTAGATCCCTTTGCTCTGCTTCACACTCGCCTTCTTCCCCTCTGCTCCCCCACTGCCTTATTCACCTGCTGTGCTGCCTGCACTCTGTACTCTGTCGTTAACCACATAGAGTCTCCATTCCCAGCTAGTTCCCTTTGCTCTGCTTCACACTCGCCTTCTTCCCCTCTGCTCCCCTCTGCTCCCCCACCGCCCTATCCACCTGCTGTGCTGCCTTCACCCTATACTCAGTCTCGGGCCTTCGGCAGATCTTGCGCAGAGGCACCACCTCCTGATGGGGCAAAGGAAGTTATGGGGGGAAGGGGGTTGATGGAGGGAAAGGGTTTTCTGCCCGTGTCACTTTCTGTGCTGCCTAACTCTGTATTCTGTCTCGGGCCTTAAGCAGATCCTGCGCAAGGGCACCACCTCCTGATGGGGGGGGGAGGGGGGGATGGTGGGGATGTGGAGAGGGAAGGATCTGTGAGGTCGATTCATGCCTTCACCCTATACTCAGTCTCGGGCCTTGGGCAGATCCTGCGCAAGGGCACCAAACATGTGACCACCTTCCATCTCGTAGCACCCTTCCATACCACCTTTCATCTCACCTCGGTGTTGGCGTGTCGATGCCGCACCCAGAACCGGCACCGGCACCCCCTCACATCATGCCGCCTCCTCTGCACGTCAGTGGATCTGTGTTCTCACGATCCCCTCACACGAGCAGCACAGCACTCACCTCGGTGTTGTCATGTCGATGCCGCACCCAGAACCTGCACCGGCATCCCTCACATCATGCCGATACGGCACCCAGAAGCGACACCGACACACCCCCTGACATCGTGGCACTTCCTCTGCACATCCCCCACATCCCCACCACTGCCATTCCACGTTCCCTCCTCTCACCTCGGTGTTGTCATGCCGGTATCGCACCCAGAACCGGCACCGACACCCCCTCACATCATGCCGCCTCCTCTGCACGTCCCGCACACTGAGCGCCATGCCATGCAACCCACCCAGTAGCAAAAGGAAACCCACCTCAGTGTTGTCGTGCCGATATCGCACCCAGAAGCGGCACCGACACCCCCTCACGTCATGCCGCCTCCTCTGCACGTCCCTCTCATCCCCACTCCCACCAGTAACGACATTCCATACCCATCTCACCTCGGTGTTGTCATGCCGGTACCGGACCCAAAAGCGGCACCTGCACCCCCTCACGTCATGCCGCCTCCTCTGCACGTCCCGCACATCGGCATCGAAATAAAGCGCCTGGTCGGAAGCTTCCTGGAAGCAGAGCACCACGTCCCCAGGCAGCACGGCGACACACTCGGAGCCCTCGCAGGGGAGGGAGCGCGGGCGGACAGAGAGACGAGCCGACACCCACTCGTCTTCTTCGTCTGCAAAGCCGAAAAAGCGAACTAGCACTTGCTGCTCGCACATAGGGGGGGAGGGTCGAGAGAGGAGAGAAAATCAGGAAAAAAATGGAAAGAATGGGAAAAAGGGGGGTATAAGCCAGCAGATGGGTAGGCAGTAGCAGGCAGGCCAGCACATCCCCAGGCAGGCAGCACGGCGACACACTCGGAGCCCTCGCAGGGGAGGGAGCGCGGGCGGACAGAGAGACGGGCTGACACCCACTCGTCTTCCTCGTCTGCAAAGCCGAAGAATCGCACCAGCAATTGCTGTATAAAGGGGAGGAGGATGGGGGAGAGGGACGTTGAAGGGAGGAGGGGGAAGGGACCACCTGAGGCATGAAAGGGCGACACCCACTCGTCCTCCTCGTCTGCAAAGCCGAAGAATCCCACCAGCACTTGCTGCATAGGAGGGAAGACGCATAGGGGAGGAAGAGGCAGGCCGCAGGGGTATGACTGGGGCATGAGAGACGAGCTGATACCCACTCGTCCTCCTCGTCTGCAAAGCCGAAGAATCCCACCAGCACTTGCTGCTTGGGTGTGTGGGGAGGGGGGTTGTGGGAAGCGGGGGAAGAAGGGGAGAAGGGAAGGAAGAAAAGAGAAGAGGACAAGAGGTTAAGGGAACGGGAGAGAAAGGGAAACAGGCAGGGTGCAACATCTCAATCCCACTGACTCGTTCCTTTTTATATGCTGACTCACCGTATCTCATCCTCTTGCTGACTCACCTCGTTCCCTTGCTGACGCACCTCATCCTCTTCTTGCTGATCACCTCATCCTCTTGCTGACTCACCTTATCCCCTTGCTGACTCACCTCTTCACCAGATTCGGTCTTTCGATGTGCCAAGAGGCTTGCCACGTCATACCTTGAAAGAACGGGTGGGGATGGGTGAGAATGGTTAAAAATGGGTGGGAATGGTGAGAGGTGGATGGAAATGGGTGCGAATGTTGGGAGAGGATGGAAATTTGCAAAGGGGAGACAAAACGACGAGGAATGGTATACAATTAGTGGTAATGCGTAACACAAAACAATATACACCAACACCACTCTGCATATACCATACAGTACGCCCTGTTACCATTGACTATGTACCATGCACCGTCACGCACCAAAACCGGCATGCTCCTATCCCCTTTACAAGCAGCATGCAACATGCACCATAACTTCCTTCACCATGCCCCACTCGCCTTACCATGCGCCGTCTCTTGCGGATCGGGCTTCATACTCCATCGCACCCCACCAGCACCGATTAGGACCTACAAGAACCTACGAGCACTTACGAGCACCACGCACCTACAAATCAGCCCGAAAAGGACCAAACAGCGGTTACTAAATAGTACGAGACGCTGTCACCACCACCGTATACGTATTCTAAGCGGCTTCCTACGGACTCAGTTGTTTGATACCAGCTCCGTTTGTTTTTCAATCGACTGAAAAGCTTCTTACGGAGCGACTAGTTGTCTTGCCGTTACAGCATGGCGCGAATGATGTCAGGCCGTTGTTGATACCAGCTCGGTTTGCACACCAACGCCGTTTCAATCATTCTTAAGTCCAAAGGCTTCTAGACTTCGCCTCTTAGCGCCACGGCGACCCGTATAGTTGCACTCGCGTCGCTGCTAATCGCGAGTTTGTAAAAGCTGTCAGGTCGTCAGCTTATGTGTCAAGGCGGGCGAGGTAACAGCGCGAACGGCGGTGTTCAAGAAAGCCAACGCCGCGACAGGTGCTGTCATGGAAGAAGAGTATGAATTGGCAAAAGGAGAGACGTGGATAAAACGCTTGCGCATCCGGGGAATCGAACCCCGGTCAGTACCGTGGGAGGGTACTATGATACCACTACACTAGATGCGCATGTTGTAAACGTTACTTTAGTTTTTTACACAACTTTTTTAAACCACAACAGAAAAATGAGGAGTTCTGGTTTTCTTGTGGTTGATTCTGGAGATGAGAGCACCAGAAATGCCTAATACGTATAACCAACTCATCTATACAGACACACTATAGAATTGTAAGCCATTGCGGCAGCGGTGGGAGCACCCCTAAAACCGCCAGCAACCGTGCAGACAAAAACACACAGTAAGCTGTCACAAGAACCACCCCCGTCTTCTTATCCAGAACCACTCCTCTTCTCCCTTCTCTGCCAGAAATTCTCCTCCCTATACTGCTTCCACTGCTGCCGCTGCTGCCAAATTCCCCATTTCTAATATCTGCTCCTCCTACACCCCTGCTTCCAGCCCCATCCATTCCCCCAATCCCACCTCTTCCTCCTATCCCATCCGCAGCATCCCCTCCTCTTTCTCCCAACCAAGCCAGCCGAATCAGCACAAAGAGTAGCACAAGGAAGAGAAACCCTAGGGTGGAGAGAAGGGTGTGATCCACAGGCACCACGTAAGGTTCAGGGTATCTGGACCAACAGGCGAGCACTAAAGACAAGCCCAGGCCGACCAGCGTGTTGAAAAGAGGGCCGGCGAAGCAGCCCGACCACGCAATCTGCAGCCGTGATTGGTCGCCGCTGGCAGCAAAGGACAAATTAGCGACTAAATCCCCGACGGAGTTACCCCACGCGAGGACGGTCAGAGCCAGAATCGGAGGGGAAATTCCGAGGATTACCCCCAGGGAGACCAGGAGCGCGACGAGCTCATTCGCAAGGGCGTAGAACCAGACGACAGACATGGTAAAGCTGGCAGTTACCCAGAGTAAAGCGGGTAGAAAGGATTGCGGGGGAGATTCCTCTTCTGTGGTGTAGTAAGTGAGACAGGCCAGGAAAACCCCAATGGAAGCGGCGAGGATAAAGACGAGGTGGTCGGAATCAGCACCGAGAACAAAGGTGGTGAAGAGGAGGGGCGAGAGGAGGGAGGAGGCGACTGCAAAGGGCTTTGACCACTCGTCTTTGTGGTGGACCGGGATGGAGCAGAGGAGGGGCAGCGTGAGCGGGAACTTGATGAAGTACTCGCAGAACCCGGCAAAGGTCCAGGGGCGCTGGATGGTGCAGTGCGGTGGAGAGGGGCAGGGTGTGGTGGGGAGGGGTACAATGAGTTGGGTTTAGGGAGGGGAAGGGGAAGACAGAAGGCGTGCTGAGTGGTGGAGAGTGGTGGTGCATGGTGGAGAGTGGTGGTTCAGTACGAGTTCGAGGACGAGAGGAAAGACAGCGGTGAAGTGCAGAGAGCATGAAGACAGAAAAAGAGAAACATTTTCAGTCGGTGGCATATTTTACGTTGGCGGCATGTTTTCTTGTCCACGAAAAACAGGCAGAAGCACATTCCATACTGCAGCATCCCCTGACTCAGCTGCTCACCAGCTCAGGGTCCTCCATCTCCTCGTCATAGCCCCACAGCAGCTCTCTCAGCTATGCGGTTACCATTACCAGCTCGGCCCCATACAGCCAACCACTCATCTCTCATCCACTCACCAGCTCAGGGTCTTCCATCTCCTCGTCATAATCCCACAGTGGCTCTGATAGCTATTAGCCCACACTAATGTGCAAGATCAGTCCAGTGGCATCACTCCCCCACTCATCCCCTCACCAGCTCAGGGTTTTCCATCTCCTCGTCATAACCCCACAGCGGCTCTCTCAAACCCTACAAAAGCTGCACCCCCATGCAGGAACCACCACCAAAACCCCTTGATACCATGCACCACCAACATCAACCACAGCAAACCACTCACCAGCTCAGGGTCCTCCATCTCCTCGTCATACCCCCACAGCGGCTCCCTTAAGTCATCCGTTACGCTCGCCGCCATGCGGTTACCACCACCACGAGTAGCACCAGCCACAACACCAGCAAGACCAGCCGCAGCAGTATCAGCATCAGCAGCACCGGCGAAATCAGCAGAAGCAGTAGAGTGGAGCACGGGAGGGGGGGTGCGGGACGGGGAGGAGGACAGCGGGGGGGACAGCAGGCAGGGCGGCAGCACCACTGAGCAGCTGCCAGCTGTCACGTCCTCGGCCTCCACGTGGCCAGGTGGCGCGTCGCTATTGGCCGAATTCTCCCGGGAGAAGATGAAGGGGAGGGGGAGGTAGTTGCTGGGGTGGAGGTAGTGGTGGGTGTGCAGACGGGAGTGGAAAAGCGATCGCTCGTGTGTCCACAGCCAGTGGGGAATCGTTGCCTGGGATACTGAGAAGCACAGGGGGAAAAGGAGAAGGGAAGAGAGACCAAGGTGGGGTAGGTGCTGGGGTGGAGGTAGTGGTGGGTGTGCAGGGGGGAGTGGAAGAGCGAGCGTTCGTGTGTCCACAGCCAGTGAGGTATCGTTGCCTGAGACACTGAGATGCACAGCGGGAAAATGAGAAGGGAAGAGAGACAAGACAAGGTAGGTGCTGGGGTGGAGGTAGTGGTGGGTGTGCAGGCGCGAGTGGAAGAGAGAGCGCTCGTGTGTCCACAGCCAGTGCAATATCGTAGCCTGGGGGACTGGAAAGAATGATAAGAGGTGAAAGGGAGAAAATGAATACAAGGTAGGTGTTGGATGGAGGTAGTGGTTAGTGTGCAGACGGGAGTAAAAGAGAGAGCGTTTGTGTGCCCACAGCAGTGGGGAAGGGAGGGAAGTGTGGAGAGCGGGCGAGCAAGGCAGTAGGTGGGCGCGAGTGGGTGCAGAGTAGGGTAGAAGAAGAAAGAGTCTGGCTCACCTCAAACCAGCGTACACACCTTAGCGGATGAAGGGGTGTATAAGTGGAGTTTTGAGTCAACTCAAAATTCGACTTATCACACAGAGTAGGCTAGAAGAAGAAAGAGTCTGGGATAAAGTCTCGCTTCGAACCAGCGTACACACCTGAGCGGATGAAGGGGTGTATCTGGCATCTGAGGGTGCATGCCTTGGACATTGGTAGGCAGTGGGAGAGCGCGACAGCAACGCAGTAGGCGGGATAGATGGCAAGATACAGCAGGGAGGGAGTCACAGTCAGCAGTAGCAGCAGAAAGCTAGTCACAGTGTGAGAGAGAGGCAACGCACAGCACACTCACCTGAGTGGAGGAAAGGGTGGATCTGGAATCTGAGGGTGCGTGGCTCCGTTGTTGGCAGGCACGGGGAGAGGGTGAGTGGGCGACCAAGGCAGTAGGTGGGCGAGTGGGTGCAGAGTAGGGCAGAAGAAGACAGAGTCTGGGATAGAGTCTCATTCCAAATCAGTGTGCTCACCTGAGCGGAGGAAAGGGTGGATCTGGAATCTGGGGGTGCGCGGCTCGCGCATTGGCACACCTGAGCATGACAGCGAGACACCTGAGCAGTGCACATACCTGAGCGGAGGAAAGGGTGGATCTGGAATCTGGGGGTGCGTGGCTCGCGCGTTGGCAGGCAGTGGTAAAGCGCGACCGCCAGACAGTAGGCAGGGTAGATGGAGAAGAAGAGCAGCGCGTGGGGTAGATGCACCGCGCGCTGCCATACCAGCACACACAGGGCCTGTGATGGAGTAGGGTGAGATGAGGAAGGGGGTGGGGGTGGGGGTGGGTGTGGGGGAGCAAAAGGTGATTGAGGAGAGGGCGGCAGTGAGGCAGTAGGTGGGGTAGATGGCGACAAAGAGGAGGGCGTGTGGTAGATGCACCGCGCGCTGCCACACTAACACGCACAGAGCCTGTGAGGGCACGGGAAAAGGGGGTAAGGGAGCGAGAGAGGGAGCAGAGCAGCGTGTGATTGACGAGAACGCGACAGGGAGGCAGTAGGCGGGGTAGATGGAGAAGAAGAGCAGCACGTGTGGTAGATGCACCGCGCGCTGCCACACCAGCACACACAGGGCCTGTGAGGGGAGGGGAAAGGGGGGATGGGAGGGGACGTGTGCTTGACGAGAGCAGCGCATGGGGTACATGCACCGCGCGCTGCCATACCAACACACACAGGGCCTGTTGGGGAAGAAGAGAAGGGGGGCGAGAGGGGGAAGAGCAGCGTGTGGTCAATGAGTGCTTGAGGAGAGGGGGTCAGCGAGGCAGTAGGCGGGGTAGATGGCGAGGAAGATCCGCGCGTGTGGTAGATGCACCGCGCGCTGCCACACCAGCACACAGAGGCCTGTTGGGGGAGAAGGAGGAAGGGGAGAGGCCGGAGTGGCATGTGGCTGTTGAGAGCAATCGATCCGACTGAGGGTACACGTGCTGGTCTTGCCACACCAGCACACACAGGGTCTGTCAAGGGTGAAAGGGGTGGGTGGGTTACAAAGAGCTTCGTAAAAGGACAGCGAGTGAGTGAGTAAGTGAGCGAGTGAGGAAAGCGTGTGAGTGAGGAGAGGTTGACGTGTGCGATCACAGGGTAGCTAGCCAGGGTTGTTTCTTGGAAGGGAGTGAGGGAGGGACGATTGCTTTTGAGTCGACTCAAAAGTGTGTGAGTGAGGAGAGGAGGGTGACATGTGTGACCACAGGGTGGCAGGGTGTCGTGTCACCCTCTCCTCACTCACAGGGTGGCTAGGCTAGCATTGTTTCTTGGAAGGAACTGAGGGAGGGAAGATTGTGGCCGAGAAACGCACCAGGCGAGCAGGGAGGAATAAGACCAGGTACCACCGTGCGTGCAGATACAACAGGTAGGCAACTGCGTGTAATGAGGTTGTTTTTGAGACGTCTCAAAAACAACCTCATTACACGTAACAACACACCAGGCGAGCAGGGAGGAATAAGACCAGGTACCACCGAGCATGCAGATACAACAGGTAGGCAACTGTGAATTTGTGACAAATATGAGGTGTGGGGGTGTGTGTGCTATGTCAACAGTGGCAGGGAAACGCACCAGGACAGCTAGGAGGAAGAACGTCAAGTCTCGTACAAAGGACGACCGATGCAACTGTGATATTAAAGGGAGGTGCTAATGAGGAATGGTGTGCCTAATTGGCAGGGAAACGCACCAGGACAGCTAGGAGGAAGAACGTCAGGTCTCGTATAAAGGACGATCGGTGCAACTGGACTCTCGGGGCCTTGCTGGCCGCTACAAGACAAACGGAGCCAGCCACCACGGTGGAGACAAAGCACGCCGCACCCAACACACCATTGAAGCCCACCAGGCTCTGATGTCCTTTTCCCACAAACGCCACCACACTGCAGGAGATTGACAGAGGGAAGGGAGGAGAGAGAAAGAAGTGGGGACAAAGCACGCTGCCCCCAAGACACCGTTGAAGCCCACCAGGCTCTGATGCCCTTTCCCCACAAACGCCACCACGCTGCACGAGATGGTGAGAGAGGGGGAAAAGGGGGAAAGTGAGGGAATGCGGATAGAAGGGGTGGGGCAGTGATGAGTGGGAAGAGTGGCGAGAAGGGCTCTGATGCCCCTTTCCCACAAACGCCACCACACTGCAGGAGATTGACAGAGGGAAGGGAGGAGAGAGAAGGAAGTGGGACAGGGGAATCCACCAGGGATGAGGGGGAAGAGAGAGCAAAGGGAGTGAGAGGAAGAAAAAAGCTTTCTGGCAATTCAAAGGAAGAAAAGGTAGAAGAGGGGCTTCTGATTCTCATGTAGTCCACTTCCTCACACTCCCTTTCTCACTCAATCTCTCCCTCTCACAAATCAATCTTCCCACTTCACTCTTTTGATCACACCACCCTCTCTCCCCCTCACCTGGCGAGCACATCCTGGCTACCACGGTCCCCTTTCCCATCCACCACATTGGTCCTTTTACCTGGAGCGGGAAACAACAGTTCCCCACTCCCTCAAACTACCACCCTTCTCACCTGTACCCCACTGGCTGTGAACGCACGGAGGATTGCTCTTCCAGTCCAGTCCCCATACCCACCACTTCCTCATCTCCCTCCCCTCATCCCCGTTCCCCTCTTCCCCTCTCTCAATCCCACCACCCTCCGCACCCTACCATCCTCACCTGTAGCGTGGAACAAATCATGCTGGAATGCAGCGTCACTTTCACTACAAGAGCCCCGTTTTCCTCCCTCGCTCTCTCTTTTCCACTCCCTCACCCTCCTCTTCCCTCCACAACCCTCCATTTTCCCTCGCCGCCTCCCTCTCTTCCCTCGCACACACTCTCCTTCCTCTTTCTCAAAAACTCTTGTCTTCACATCAGGGTCTCTCCTCCCCCCTTCTCCAACATCCCCTCCCTCACCTGTCGAACACGTCAGGCGCGCCATCCTCAGCGGCAGCAGAGTCACCCGCCCTACAATGGCCCCCTTACCCATCCACCACATTCTCCTTTCTATCTCCCCGCATACCTTCTTTCCTTTCCCTCAACCCTCCCCTTCCATCCCTCACCTGGCGAACACGTCAGGCGCGCCATTCCCCAGCGGCAGCAGCGTAACCCCCGCTACAGAGGCCCCTGTCTCTTCCTCAACCCCTCTTTCCCCCACTACCCTCCCCTTTCTCACCTGGCGAACACATCAGGCGCGCCATTCCCCAGCGGCAGCAGCGTCACCCCCGCTACAGCGGGCGGCAGCCGCAGCAGCTCCGCGAGTTCTTCTAACGAGGGGCAGAAAAAATCCGCCGCGACATTCCCCAGGAGGAAAATCAGCGCCGCCAGCCACGTCAGCAGCAGCGCGACACCTATCGGGCTTCCTTCAAACGTGCAGTAGAAGAATTGGAGGTATTCCAGCTGCGCGCCGCTGCGGCAGGCGGCTTCCGCGCGCGCGGCGGCGCACTGCTCCGCGGGGGAACCGTGAATCGGCGCGGAGCAGTTCCCGGGCGCGGGGTCGTGCGGGAGTAGGGGGGAGATTTTCCGCTTGAGGGGAGGGGAAGCGGCGAAAAATGTGGAAGTGTTGTGCGGGGAAGCCGGTAGAACGCTTGCCGCTGTGCTTATAACGAGTTTGGCTTCGGGTATATGACTCTGCGTGAGAGGCTCAGAATGTCGCACATCCAGTCGCTCAGACTGCCGTACATCCAGTCGTGCAGACTGTCGCACGGACTGTCGCACGGCGTGTGGTGTCTCCGTCGCATGGATCTCAATCTCGACTGGCGACGACGAAAGCAGTCGCCTGTTCGGACCTACGGTCGTCGCATCAGACGTTGACGCCAAGGCGGGAAACTCGCTACCGGAAAACGAAGACGCTGAAAACGAGGATGACGAGGAGGCGGCGGAGAGGGGAAACGGGGCTGAGGAATGCGAGGGAGGGGGCTCTAGTAACCTTTCTGAGTGGATGACGAGGGGTTGTAACGGGCTTCGCCAGAGTAACAATGCGATGGCGGTGATGATTAGCGTCAGCTTCACAGCCGTCGACGACCATCGCCGAGCCATCGCCAACGAGCTCGCGAACAGTGTCCGCGAAAGACGTAAAGCGCTGCGAAATGCTTTCGGCGAAAAAGTCGTCAGTCAGTATCCGTACCCCTAAAAATGTCCAAGGTTAACTGTGAGTCGTCGAGAAAATCCCTGAAATTTCCGCGGTATTCCACCTTCAGGTGAATCTTCAGCCGTCCTGCCTAAGTGCCGCTCCCATGCTTCATTATCCTGGCTTTCAGCTGCAATCCGGGAAGAAGCTTCAAGTTGTAACAGGAGTCTCTCGTGTACACCCCTGATAATGAACTAATGGCTCTTCAAGAGTAACATATTGGTGTCCTAATATTGCCTTGACGGTGTTCTAATGGTGACCTACTGCTCCCATAACAGTAACGTTTTGAAAACCTGACAGCAACCCAGTCCTAAGATGCGTCTGATCTCTCGTTAAAAAGGAAGCAGTGTGCTTTGAATCTAGTCGCGACGCCTCCGATAACCTCGAAGCGTGTACACATTTAACTACTGATGCTCCTTTCAGATGAGCCAGGCGGGGCTGCTCGTCAGGGAAGCAAGCACAAAGAAAAAAGTCCTCTCGTGGTCTCTAAAGATAAATTTTGGACAAAAAACGTCGAAATTTCCGCCGGAAGAACGGGCTGTTTCGCTGAAGCGAAATCAGTCTACCTCTGTAAACCAATGAGCGTCGCCACCTAAACCAATGACGGACTCCCACGGGCAACGAAAGTCATATCACGAGGAGCACCGCCATGGCTTGGGCTTCACAAAACTGAGAATACAATACACTATGGGGAGGATGAAAGAAGTAGACGTTCTGTTTGGGGAAAGCGGTTTGGCAATGGCATCCTGTCCGGTACAGTCGCCGCTCGGTAACGTACTGAAACAGAAACTCCAGGAACGCACCAGAAACGCTTGCCATGAGATGACACATTTGATAGGCGACCGTTGCCAGCCCCAGGTCAGCGGACGCGCTTACCCTTGGAGTTGACAACAAGAGCGACCACAACCGACTCAGAACAATCAGAACCGAGTTCTTTCCCGCTAGGCAATACCGCCAGTGCCGTGCGCGTGCCAGGGGGGGGGAGGAAGAGAGGAGTTTGCCGTGTCAGATTGGATGATACGGTACAACGACGTTGCAGGTGCACAGTACTGAACTGGTGATATCGACCGTCCGTGTACGCTGTACAGTTCAAAAATCATCCAAGAAGTGTGGAGATGAAATCGCGAGGCGAGGGGGCATTATTATCGAGGATTATTACACCACCATTATTATCCTAGCCAGAGGTTAGTCAAGATATCCAAACTTCACGATGTGACACTTTGAAGCTTGGGAGCATTGTGAGAAATGGGAAGTATTTGGGCCATGGGGAAATCGTCAAGAGAGGAAAAAATGGGGTTTTGGGGACGCTCACGCAGAGAAGCAGGCTTTCTGCCGCTTTGTGATGAGAGGAGAGCACGAGCAATGCCTATCAAAATAACCTTATTTGCCAGCAAGAGGGCTTGGATAATGGTGAGAACAAAAAACGCCACAATCAAAGAAAGCTGGACCAGCATTCCCAATGCATATGGAAGACCTGCTGTGTACAATGTCACAGCATCAACTGCAGGACTTCCAGCAACAATGCCCCAATATGTACAGGTGCCATTTTACAACCCGAGCGAGGATTGAGGCATCAACGGAGCTAACCTTGAATTGTCACATGGTTGGAAGGTCATCCTGTTGTATTGCGTCCAACCATACCTTACCCTGAACTGTTCAAGAGAGCACTTCCCTTCCGCGAATCGCTTGTGACGGTTCAATCACACATAACCCCTTATACCTCTATTTTGACACACAATCTATCCCGCCGCTGCACTCCCCTCCTCCCAAGCCCAACTCGCAATCAACCCTCCCCTCTTCCAAGCCTGAATCACCCTCCTCATCTGTCACCCCAAGAAACCGTCTCAACTCCTCAATCCTCCTCGAATCACCCAATCTCGTACCGTTCCCATCTCCTGTTGACGCTATCTCCGTCCAAGATCCGCCCATCTCCTGCAATTTTTCCTGGCCTTCCCGACCTTCCTGATCCTTCTGACCCTCCTCCCCTTGCGAACGCCTTCTGTCCGCCTCTCCGGTTCGTGATCTTTGCGAAACTTCTCCTGCTGGTGGACTCGTTGATGATTCTACTGCCGCTGAAACCCTTATGATCCCTGCTACACATGACGTATCCAAAACCGCTGACACTGTTGCGGACAGCGCATCTGCTTCTGCTGTTGCCGCAACCGCCGCTGCTCGTGCCGATGGCGACGGTGCGAACGCTCCTGGCGAAGAATCCATTCCTCCGATCACGACAATTTCGTGCTGCTGCTGAATAATATTTTCAACAATTTCGACCTGAATGCTAACTCTATCCGCAGCTGTCTCGTTCAGTGTCGCCGGCGCGTCGCGAGCTGTCACCAACGGATCCACCTCGTCGCTAGCCGTCACATGTCCCTCGCTTGAATTGCCTGCATCCTACTCGGAGTCGTCTCGCTGGGCCGAGAGTTTCGGGGGTTTCAGGTTGAATCGGCAGATGGGACACGTGGTATGCGCGCAAAACCATAAGTCGATACACGTGGCGTGAAATCTGTGTCCGCAGGATGGCATCGCAAAAATTGGGGACCCGGTTTCAGTAGGGTTTTTTCCGTTCGTCAAACAGTGGTCGAAATCGCTGACTCGTTTGGTTGGTAAAAAGCTACCAGACTGTATACAATGCATTTTCGATATGTTTTTGAATTTCAGAAACATGTGATATAATATTTTTTTCAGAGAATTCTTCACTGTGTGTTAATTTTCTGACCTGCATGACTTTGTTCAGACAATTTTGATTCTTTGAAAGCAATCCAATATTACTTGGCGATACATGTCATGAATATGTCATAGTAAAGTCGCATCTAGTCAAACAAATAGTCGTTGAGAAAAAAACAGCCTCGACGCTTAAACGACTCGACAATGTGGACGGCACGGAACACCGAGTCCACCTCCACGACATCACGGTACAATCTCTGCTTACCTGGGTACTTAGCCCACTCCAGGCGCTTGCAACCAGTAGCATCATCATTACCAACCACCTCATAGTACTGAACATAGGCAAAACCCTTGTCGCTCTGAGCGTGCTTAAAGAGGAGAAGTACCTCTGCGTACCACACCTCCTCCCCTCCACTAATGGCCACATGGGAGAACCACGGGTTGCCGTGGTGTGACGGGTTTGCACGAATGAAGTGAGTGACCCTGGAGTGGTACTCTTGAGGGCCGCCTGGAATCGCCACGCCGGTGTAGACCTGCAGGTGGGGGTGGTGCAGCCAGAGAGGAGACGGAAGTGTTAGAGGAGGGAAGGGGGGATGGGAGGGAGTGTGGCAGGCCAGAGAGCCGAGGGGAATGTGCGAGGAGGGAAGGGGGGATGGGAGGGAGTGTGGCAGGCCAGAGAGCCGAGGGGAATGTGCGAGGAGGGAAGGGGGGATGGGAGGAAGTGTGGCAGGCCAGAGAGGAGAGGGGAATGTGCGAGGAGGGAAAGGGGGATGGGAGGGAGTGTGGCAGGCCAGAGAGCCGAGGGGAATGTGCGAGGAGGGAAGGGGGAATGGGAGGGAGTGTGGCAGGCCAGAGAGCCGAGGGGAATGTGCGAGGAGGGAAGGGGGGATGGGAGGAAGTGTGGTGGGCCAGAGAGGAGAGGGGAATGTGCGAGGAGGGAAAGGGGGATGGGAGGGAGTGTGGCAGGCCAGAGAGGAGAGGGGAATGTGCGAGGAGGGAAGGGTGGATGGGAGGGAGTGTACGGATGAGTATCCAGGATTACTCACATGGAGGGTGGCGGCTGAGATGCCTGCTGTACCAAGGTCCGTCTCCAAAGTGTCGAGGCGGCCACCAACAGCAGCGTTGTACAATGCGAATTGGTTATCAACAGGACTAGGCAAGAATGATGCATTGAAAGAACAGTTGGGTACAAGTAGCTAACCCTAGTTGGGTTTGTACCCTGTATTGGCTACCCCACTACAGCCTACCCACATATAAATAACACATTACAACTTAACACACCCCCATAGGCAAAGTGGGGGAGAGCAAAGGGTCACAAGACCAGTCCAGCAAAGCAAAACAAGCCCAGGGTGGATCACAACGTCACCACACTCCGAGCACAAGCAAAGGCCACAAGGCCAGTTCACATGCAGTGCTAGATATAGAACAGGACAAACAGCAAGACATATATAAAGTACAGTACAAAGAAAGTCAAGCAGTAAGCAAATGAGGAAACGTGGACACAAGGCCTAAAGAAGTACAGTGCCGCTGATGATCACTAGGCGGGAGCGCCTTGGTGAAGATATCAGCAGTGTTGGCCTTCGAGTCCACGTACACAAGCCGAAGCTGACCGCGCTGCTGAAGCTCTCGAGCAAGAAAGTAGCGAAGAGCAATGTGCTTCGTCCTGTGCTCCAGTCTGTGCTCCTGACACAAGGCAAGGGCCGCCTTGTTGTCACCGTACAGAACTGGAGGAGAACTAGGCCGCTCTCCCAAGTCAGTCAGCAGGTAGGTGAGCCAGCGTAACTCCTGTGCAGCCATGGCCGTGGCGTAGATCTCAGCCTCACAACTAGAGCCGAGAACAGAAGAAGAGCGGGTGGACCGCCACGAGACAGAACCAGAGCCAAGGCTGAAGGTGTAACCCTGTGACGACCGCTGCGTAGCCAGGTCGTCCACCCAAGAAGCGTCCGAGTGACCAGTGAGGACAACTCTGTCGCGTCCTCCAAGCACCAGCCCCATGCCTGATGTACTGCACAAGTAACGCAGCACCCTCTTAGCAGCCTCCCAGTGCTCTCGCCTGTGTCTCCCAGGCGCAACGTAACGAGCAAGGATGCTAAGAGGGTACGCGAGGTCAGGTCGCGTGCAAGTCATCAGGTACATGAGGCAGCCTACAAGCTCTGGGTACGGGCCACTCGGCTCTACGGACTCGTCCGAAGGTGGAGCTGAGAGCGAGTGGCTGGTAGCCAGAGGTGTGGCCTGTGGTGAG